TACGATAAGTGGGTTGGAAATATTGACCTGCCCCGAGAGGTTGAAATGGTTTGTTTAGCCTAGAAAATGGAAGATTGGTGGGTGGCAGAACAGTGTGTAAATGTTTAAATTGCAGTAGGAATAGTGAGAATTGTCTTATGTGAATGCTAAGAGTTGTGCAAGAACACTGAGGGACTGAAACTGTAGGTATAGGATGTGAAATTTGGACTTATCAAGACAGTATAAAACCAGAGGAATAGCAGTGTCACAATAATATGAATACAGATATAGTAAGATGCTAATGTTAACCATTTTTCGTATCAAAACTGACTTAGAGATGGATGGTAATAGATAGATATTTATACTGGTAATGCCTTGTGTGTTGTAAACTTAACTTTCACCTTAAGTTCAAACCTAATAAGGGAGGTATTCTAAGGAAGAGACTCCAAGTTAACAATCTTCAAACAGCTACAGTGAGAGACAGATTCCAGGTAAATCTTCAAACTAGGCTCTAAGATCATTCCATAGTTCCCTCTCCCGAAGCGCTTTGGCAATATATTAAAAATAGCATCCTACAGTCCTCTGAAGAATCCTTAGGGTTCTCCTTCAAGAAAAACAAGGACTGGTTTGATGAAAACAATCAAGAGATCCAGGAATTGTTGGTAAAGAAGAGAACTGCCCACTAAGCACACCTTGCTCAGCTATCTTGTCATGTAGGAAAAGCAGCTTTTTGTCTTGCATGCAACAAGCTCCAAAAAAACTTCGAGACATCCAGAACAAGTGGTAGATCAATCTAGCAGAAAAGATTCAATTATGTGCAGATTTGGGTGATTACAGAGGATTCTATGAGGCTTTGAAAGCAGTGTATGGACCTACATACCAGGTTCAAAGCCCTTTTACTCAGTGCAGATGGTCAAACACTTCTGACAGATAAAATTTCCATTCTGAATTGATGGTCTGAACAGTTTCAGACTCTTTTCAGTACCAACCGTGTAGTTCAAGGCTCAGCAATTCAGTCCATCACACAACAACTGGTGAAGAATGAATTGGATATTGCCCCTACTATGGGAAAAACTCTTAAGGCCATACAGCAGGTGAAAATTGGCAAGGCAGCTGGGATTGATGGAATTCCACCTGAAATCTGGAAGCATGGGGGCCAAGCACTCCATACCAAATTTCACAAGTTTGTGGTGCACTGTTGGGAACTAGGTGAACTACTATCAAACCTTCATGATGCAGTCATCATCACTTTGTATAAGAAGAAAGGAGATAAATCAGACTGTTCAAATTACCGTGGTATTACTCTGCTCTCCATTGCAGGTAAAATCCTTGCAAGAATACTTTTGAACAGATTAATACCCACTATAGCAGAAGAACTTCTACCTGAAAGCCAATGTGGCTTCAGAGCCAACAGGAGTACCACAGACATGGTATTTGTTCTCAGACAACTGCAAGAGAAGTGTAGGGAACAGAACAAAGGTCTCTGTGTAACTTTTTTGATTTCGCCAAAGCTTTTGATACTCTGAGCAGAAGAGGTCTGTGGCAGATTTTGGAACTATTAGGATGTCCCTCCAAATTCCTCAAAATGATCATTTTGCTTCATGAGGATCAGCATGGCCAAGTCAGATATGGTGATGCACTTTCTGAGCCCTTTCTAATAACCAATGGTGTGAAACAAGGCTGTGTTCTTGCACCAACCCTATTCACAGTCTTTTTCAGCATGATGCTCCAAAGGGCCACAGCAGATCTTGATGAAGAAAACAGTATCTACATCCGATGCTGTATCAATGGAAGCCTATTCAACCTAAGGCGACTGAAGGCCCACACCAAGACCTTAAACCATCTTGTCCATGAGCTGCTTTATGCTGATGATGCCGCCCTTGTGGCCCACACAGAAGCAGCTCTGCAGCGTTTAACATCCTGCTTTGCAGATGCTGCTGAGCTCTTTGGGCTGGAAGTCAGTCTAAAGAAGACGGAAGTTCTCCATCAACCTGCACCTCAGGAAGTCCCCCATCATCCCCATATCACCATTGGCCAATCAGAACTCAGATCAGTCCAGCAGTTTAATTACCTCGGTAGCCTCATCTCCTCGGATGGTAAGATTGATGGAGAGATAGACAACAGGTTAGCAAAGGCATACAGAGCTTTCGGAAAGCTTCATAAAAGCCTTTGGCATAATAAACACCTGAAGAAAAGCACCAAGATCAGTGTTTACAGAGCCATAGTGTTGTCTACTCTCTTATATGGATCCAAATCATGAGTCATCTACTGCCACCACTTGCGATTCTTAGAACGCTTCCATCAACACTGTCTCCGTACAATCCTACACATCCACCGGACTGATTACGTGACTAATACGTCTGTTCTTGAACAGGCAGCAGTCACAAGTATTGAGGCCATGTTGATGAGAACACAGGTGCGTTGGGCAGGACACATCTCCAGGATGAAGGACCACCGCCTCCCTAAGCTCATGCTCTATGGCAAACTTGCCACCGGCTGCCTCAAGAGAGGAGCCGCGAAGAAAAGATACAAGGACTCCCTGAAACAACATCTCAGCCTTGGCCATATTGATCATCATCACTGGTCTACTCTGGCCTCCAATCGGGAGACACGGAGACACACTATACATGATGCTGCTGCTTCTTTTGAGAACACATGCAGAATCATTCTTGAGGAGAAAAGACAACCCAGAAAGAACCGTGTCTTGCCAATACCGCCTAAGGAGACTTTCCGCTGTGCCTTTTGCAACCCGATGTGTCTATCTTGCATTGGCCTTTTTAGCCACCAGCGCGCTTGTAGCAAGCGTGGATAGAATCCTTCTCAAATCTTCACTCGTGAAGCCTAGCCATGATGATAATTCTAGTAATACTAGAAGTATGTAATGCACTTCTAAACTCAGTTAGTCCTGACTGTGATTAGAGATTTCTCTGATGCTAATGACCAAAAACTATAACTGGGAATTACACTACCATGGAGGATATTGGTATTTGGCATAGGGACTGGAGAATAAAAAACAACTATTATTCATAGGATGTCACTGTTCCTGAACACAAAGATCAGGCAGCTATAAATTAACAACAATTTTAACATGGTTAATGAGGACATTATAAAATGCCTGGTTGTAGAAAATAAGCTTGACATGATCAAGAGTAGATTCTTAATTAAACATCTGAGTAAACAAAGTACATACAAAACAAAAATCCTGTTTTTAGAGGGACATGTTTTGGTAAATTAAAGGAAATTCTCAGCTGGACTGTGTAGCTGTGAGATCAGAATGTTCCAGGGACCTGGAATGTATCCCCTCAATGGTGCAAATTTTAGCAGGAAGATGCATACCGAGAGTGGAGAAGAAAAGTGTATAGAAGAGGCTTGAGATAATGGATGTCTATCCATCTTTAAAAGATATGTTTGGAATAAACAGCTATCTTACAAAATAAGATAAAAAAGTACACGTGTTTTATCTTAAAATCAATAAGTCAGGAGTTTGATTAAATGTTGAATAGAGACTGGAAGGAAATTACTTTCAGAGATAAAACTTGAAATCATTCTTGCTTAATATTTTCATAATAACTTGGCACAAAATACAGGCGAAATCTACAAATAATAAAAAACTGGAAGACATTAATAGAATGGGGATATCATACAGGGGAAGCTTTAAGTCTTGAATAATACAAACAGGACAAAATTTAATAGGATAAACTGTGTAAGTCATGCATTTGGGTGCTAGTAACAGAAGGTCCTCTCCAAAACTAGAAACTTTAGGGTAAGAAACAACTATGGAAGACAAGTACTGAGGTGAAAAGGGTTATTCCAAAATGACTAGGAGCTTCTAATGGGACACATCTGTGAATGAGGCAAATGGTGTTCTATGACATACCAAAAGAGCTATTTTAACACAAATACCTCCAACACAAATAGGGAAGAGCTATTGTCACTGTACAAAGATCTGGAAAAAATGTCTGTGTATGACTAGGTACAATTTTAGTCACCCCTCTTCAAGGAAACACAACTAAAACAAAAGGAGAAGGGTTAATAGGTTGATGAGAGAAATAGAAAGCACATTTTTCAAAGCAAACTTAAAAGACCTTGATTGATTAGAGCAGCAAAAGAAGAACTCAGAAGAGATATGATGATTGCTTATAAATACATCTGAAGAACAAATACCAGTTAATGGAAAGAAGTATTTAATCTAAATAATAATTCTGGAACAGAAAAAAAGGGATATAATCAGCCATGAGTATGAATAGAAATTAGAGGTATTAATCAGTAGAACAAAGAAGTTCTTGAACTACATTCCTTTGGGAGTAATGGGGACAAAAAAACCTAATTGCTTTTAATGGACCCAGGAATTTTATGAAAGGGATGATGTAACATAGTTACAAGTGACTGCAGGGATTGAATTTGATGATAGACCTTTCCAACCCTATGTTTCTGTTGTTATAAAAAAGTCATGATTTTTTTTCTCTATTTCCACCAAGTTGGGATAAAAAGTATTCAATTTCATTTGCAAGTTAGAGAACAATGTCAACTTTCTATTAAGATGCTGAAGCAAATTAGCCAAGAAAGTTTTCAAGAACCGCTTGAGCAAATATTTGACATGGCTTTTCTAGGTGTACTGGAACAGACTTACAGTTGTGGGTTGGTCTCTTCAGCCCTAAATTTCTTTCTAGCCCTAAATTTCTACAAGAAAATACAAGCTTGTGTCTTTCTGGAGTCTGGCTTAGCAAAACAGCAAAATCCCAAGTAATTTCTGTTGAGTAACTTACACTCTGCAACTTTTGGAGATATTTGCAGTGGTACATTATTTATTATTTTTCCAGTGTTCAGAGTGTTCTAGGAAATTCATAAAGCAAACACAATTCCCAGCAGGAGATTGGAAGCTTTTGGCTTCATACCTGGGGAGTCTGGTATACACACAAAAAAAAAAAAACATTGTTGTATTTAGCATTCTCTAGAAGAGAAAATACAGCTTGGTGTGAACTCCATTGTAAAATGCTTTTCTTCTCTGAACTGTCTTCCAGAGTGGCAACAGGATTCTGTGTTCCATCATTCTGGACCACTACCAGGGACCCTCAGTAATAAACTATGACGATGAGAATGGCAAAACATGTATGCACATTGCTGCTGCTGCAGGCTACAGTGATATTATCAGTGAGCTGGCCAAAGTCCCAAAGCGCAACCTGCAGGCCCTGGATGTGGATGACAGGTAACCATGGAAATTCTGAAATTGAAATTGCTTCTTCCATTCTATTAACCTGAGACCAGCTTTGTTTATTATATAATCATGTTCCTGTTTCACAGGCCATGGCCTAGTTAATGAACTGCACTCCACAGAGAACTGCTTGCTCAGAAACACTGCAAACCAGCCCAGCTCATCTGTATCATACCTAGTATAATAACTGACTAGTAGGAATGCTATTAAGCTCTGTATTTCTGGTAGGAAAAGATAAGATTATTTGCGAAAGAACTTTGTCACCACTTGACTTCTTTCAATCGAAAGTGAACATTCTTTTCAAAACAATAGAACAGGATCCTACAACTTGAAGCCGGGATCCTGCTGCTATTTGTATTTAAGAAATGGCAGTGTTCCTTTGTTGCATTTACAATAATAACACAGTATTCCTATGGGACCAGGGGATCTTCACTTTCCATTCTGACAAGGCATTTGATTCCTTTGGGGTTGAAATCTCTGTGTCATAAGTACAGAAGAGTCATCTTTCCTCTTTTTCACCCACACCTACCTCCCTTGGAACTTTACTCATAAATTTAGTTAATGCAAACAGAACCAACTGGCTGTTCACATTGATTAGCCTGCTCACTGAAGCCAAGGTTTTCTTGGCTTAGGCCTTCAAGTACTTAAAATAATATCATTCTTCATGGAAAAGTACAGTAAAACAGAACAGAAATAAAACAGGGTTCTGGAGAAATTTCTAAACACCAGTAAAATGTAGTTGAGAAGGCTATGTTTCTATGGAAAGAAGGGCAAAGGGAGGAGATTAATAACACTTCAGGGTTCATTAAGACACAACCACCTGTTACTAGTTCTCAGATATTTCCACAAAACATATTATACTTGAAGAGGGGAAAAGATAAGCTGTTCACTACAAACATACATAACAGATTTCCATTCTGTTGCGTTTCTAACTGCACCCATCTGAAATTGTTGGGATTACAAAGAAACAGACAAAGAAATGTCAATTTTATTTTTTATTCTTAAACTATTTTCTTGTCGTGTTTTTTATGCTTTCCGTTTTTTCACAAGACCAGAATATTATAATTTGGAAACTGGACTAAAGTTTCCAAATACAAGATGTAAATTTTCTGCCAAGCAGAACATCAGTTTAATTCTCCTACACAGGTTCAAAACAATTGTATGTGCTTTGGTCTGTGTCCATCATAGAACACAGAAATTGGCAAAGTGGCAGTGGCATTCTGGAAGACGTGTTCAGTCCTTCTCATCAGTCTAGGAGAGGATTCTTCTCTTATTACCTTGATGGAGAACCCTGTGCCAACCAAAGCTAATTGTGTTTGGTCTAAAGATGAGAAGAGTTTGTCCCTATGCAGTGGACACTACAAAGTTTTTTTCAAATTCTTCTCTGAAAACTTTAGGCACTCTTCCTACTCTGCAATTCCAGCAGTGGAGGAGACGCTATTACACAGCATGTATAGCATAGCCCCATACCTACTTTATCTAAAGCTGAATAAATGCAGCTACACCAATGTGAAATAAGTTGCTGGAGAATTCCTTAAAATATATGTCATAAATCTGGACAAGGAGCATATCCTATGCACACCTCATTATGCCATTAAGAGTTTTAGTAGTAAATCTATTCAGCTATTTTAATGATACTCCGCTTTTTTCTGTAGGACTCCTTTGCACTGGGCTGCAGCAGCAGGGAAAGCTGACTGTGTGCAGACACTGCTAGAACTGGGGATAGACAGCAGTCCTCGAGATATCAATGAAAACACTCCTCTGACATATGCAATGTACCGTGGGCACACAGCATGCATCAAGCTGCTGTCTCAGGAGGGCAAGTGAAATTCACACCTTGCTCACATGTTGCCACTGACTAAAAAACAAATGTATTGCTTTTTGTATGCTAGTGAAGACTTTGAGCCCTGTGTGATGTCTTCTTGATTCCCATTCAATACTCAGTTCAAGCTTTCCACCAATGTAGCAACATCAGAATTAGTCATCTGCTCATTACTCATTACTGAGGTTACAGTACTAGCCTGCCAACCAGCAGAGGGTTCTGAAGTAGTGAATGTAGCTCTGGCCCAGTCATCTTCATGCAGAAAATTTGTCTTACAGAATAGTTTCAGCCCTCAGATATATATCTTCCACTTTTTTGAAATCTCTGTGCACTAGCTGTGCGTTTGCATAATAAGACAGACAGATAGACTGAACACAAAGGCAGCTTTGCCAGATAGATAATAAAATAAATCTCAATTTTTCATCCTCAAGTTAAGGGTTTGAAGTTATTTTCATAGCCTTCTTTAGTTCTCTACCTTGATTGTCTCTTCTGAGTTCTTCTTTGTTAAAAAGTATAACAAAAGAGTTATTGCTTATGATCTTCCTCTCTCTTTGTATTTCTCATGTTTCAGCAGCTGTTATGTAATTAACTTCCATTCTTCAACTTTGCTAAATGAGGATGCACTTATATTTATCATCACATTTCTTTGTGCTTTCCCATCCTTTCCAGTCAGTAGTTAGTATTATTTCCTATACTACAGCTTGTGAGACATAGGTATTATTACCTCTCCTCCTTCTCCTGCACTCTGTCTGTTAGAGGACATTCCTCTCAAAACCATTACAGCAGTACCACTATAGGTAATTACCTTCATCGGTCTGAAACTGTGCTGGACTCCTTAAATACAGGCAAGGCAAGGGAAAAGGGCAAAGGGGGAAAGGAAAGGAGAAAAGGAGGGAAGTCACGGTGAACTAGTGCCTTTGTTACAATGTTAGCAATGACTGTACTGTTGTAAATACCATTTTCCAAATCGATCATAATACAAAGACCACTTGTTTTGAACCCAGCATCTTCCTGTTGTCATTGGATCTTTGCAGCTGATACATGCTGAAGCCAGAAAAGTTTGTTTGTTTTTCCCAGATAGTTGCATTGGGTTACATTAAGATGACTCTAAGGCAATCAACGATAAGAAAGGAGGAAATAACACAGTGACATTTTCAGTCTTTGTTAATTACAAATTTGGAGTCTGAGTTTTCTGCACCCTTGAACCACCCCTGCAAATGTATCTGAACAGTATATCACACATTTCATGGTCTAACACAGTTAGTATTTTTAAATTGTTTGGTAATACTGCCATCACATTTTGATTTGTACTTCCAGTAGATCCGAGTCAGTTCATCAGTTTCCCTCTCTGGACAACAGAGGTATAAAGAAAGAAGGACGATTCAGTATGCTGAACCACATCTTCTCTTGCAAAAAGAAGAAAGAAGATCAGAAAACCAGTCAGAAGGAGAGAAGCAGAGAACATCCTAAAGAAGAGACCTCAGAAGTAGATGATATCATCACCTGTTTTGATTGCATTATGAAAACAAGTTGCAAAGACATTCCAAATCATTGTATGACCACCCATGACTTTAAAAGAAGGAGCACAGACACAAAGTATCTCATACCAGAAAAGAAACAATCAGCATGTCAGGGACTTCTGCCCATCAGCATGCAGAGCCTCCCCCCAATCACTGCAGGTAATTCCTTCCTAACTGCTTCCCAGAACACAGTGTCAAGCTTCTCTTTTAGCACCAGTACCCACCATTTTCCACAAAAGTCTCAAAAGAGTAGGAGTGAACACAACTTGCTGGACTACAGAAGCAGCTGCCAGGCTTTGCTGGATGATCCCTGGAATGCAGACTCTAACCAGCTACTCTCCTACAAAGTCTGTACTAGGACTTCTTCAGACAAACTGATAAATTACCTTAACTCTGATAGATCTCACCATGTGCTTTTGTGCCCTCCCTGCCTTCCCTCACTTCCTAGTTCTCCATCAGGTAATCTTTTTATCTTCTCTTTATCACAAATCTTATTATATAGACTGATGTGGCAAGCTGAGTCAGAAAAAAATAGGGACCCATAACATTTCTATTTCTTTAATATTTTTTCAGTATCTTCTCCCAGTATGGAGTAGTCATTACAGATAGCATATAGATGGGACATCAGTTGAAAGCTGAAGGTGTGGGAAATAAGAGACTTGAGTAAGACTGTAGAGCAAGCAAAAATGCAGGTATTTAGGAAGCACATAAGGTACTTGAGCAATAAGTGCCTCTCAATAATATACATGCTTTGTGAATTGCACGCTAACACCTACTACCACACCTTCTGCTTTGTGTCTACATCTGCTCCTGGAAGTAGATGTGCAAGGGAACAGTACTGCACTCAAATCTGCAACTGGGCCGAGAGCTGCGTCTGGATCCAATCACATCCACTGCCATGCTGGACAGCTCTACACCATGCCACTTTCCCTATATATGAGTATTCTGACTCCAGGCTGCAGTAGCACCCCTTTTCACTCCTCTCACTCTTAATGCCAGCTCTTTGGTCTAACATGCTGCTCTTATGGTTTCTCCAAAGCTGAATTCAGGTTGCTAAATTTACAGAAGTGGAGTAAATGCTTTTATGCAGTGGTCTGGAAATTGTAATGCAACAGTAATGAAGCAGAGCCTGAGAATTCTAAGGTGAATTTGAAACCAGGGTTTGGCTGGATTTGGGATCTGTTATTTTGTTTGACTCACATCCATGTTTAAATGAATCTGGCTGACTGGCTTGCGTGCAGGAGTTTATTTCAACTTATTAATGTCTCCAACTTCATCTCCTTTGGGATTAGTCCTATGCCAAAATTAAACACATCTAGCATGCCTTCCAACTTTTGCAATATCCAACTGAAAATGAAGCCAGCAACCCCAAACTTACCAGTACACCATTAAAAGGAGTAAACATTATACAATAAATTAATCTATGCTCACCCCAAGAGACACGAGCCATTACCCTCCAGTGAAGAGAGGAGTGAGCAGAAACCCTGTCTGAGAAGAACCCCCAATTTTCTGCATGATAGTGCAAACTGTACTGACATCTAAGTGAACTATAAAAAAGCCGATCTTTGTGCACATGTCTGACGAGAGTAGAGACAGTAACTTCAGAATGACAGGCTGAAATAAAGGCTGAAGATAGCTTTTCCGGGTAAAAAGGACCTATTCAAAAAGTTTCACTTCCCAAACATCAGGCCATATTCCTGAAAGCTTAATAGAACTGCTCTATAGGTGTCACTACTTTTTTACAATGCACTCCTCCCCTATTCACTCAACCATATGAACCCTACTCTCCACACGCCTACCAAGGATTGCTTCTGCACGACTCATTCTACACTGAATTCTGCAAGGTTCAGCTCACATGTGGAACACGAGAGTACCTGCAGGGCTTCTTTACAGCCTCAGTATAACAGGGCACAGTGAGGCTAATATATTTGAGATATTGGAGTTGACAGCAGTAGGAGGAATGAACTCAAACTGGATAAACCAAACTGGAGGACAACTATTTCTGGGAAATGTTTTGGAATTTGCTAGACTATTAAAACATTTGATGTATTATCAAATGTAGTATACTACAGTCTTAAGAAAATTTTTAAATCCTTGTTTGCTCTGGACAGAAGGATAGGTGGTTTTCCTAGAAAAGATGTTTCTATGAACATCCTATGATAAAAAGCTGCAATCAGCTGAATCAGGACAGGCTGCATCCACTCAGTGCTCCATGATCTGCACAGTAACTCGGTATAGAACCAGAAGTCTACATGTATGAATAAGGGCAAAATCGTATCAATTATTTGAATTCTTCTAATTGTCGCAATGAGAGCCACCTTTGCATGTCTAAAGGAAAAGTAATTAATTTTATTTCTAAAATTTTATTATCTCCCTCGGAGAATAAAAAGACTAAGTCTGCTTTAAGCCCAGTTCTCTTTGTACCAGCTCCCTTTAGCAAAATTTTCCAACAATAAAAAAGATTCCTGTAGCTGACAAGAAGGACTTCCTCTGAAACATATGAATTAAAAGCCTGTAAAGAGGCAGACAGTGTCTGTCAGGAATACATTGCACAACATAGATATTGTCTAATATTTCTTCATGATAAAAAGTTCTGCTTATCCCTCTTCATGCCTATGTGTGTGGTTTAAATCTGTCTGCCCCTGTAATTAAAGCCACTTGACTTGCCGTGAATTAGAACTGCATTTACTGTATGAGCTCCAGGGCTTCCAGGTCTCCAGTGCACCGTGCCTGCAGGACTTAGAGGGATCAGAAGCAAAGAAAGCCTGGCTCCAGTCCAGCCAGCAGTGCTGTGCAGGCAGCTTTCTCTGAGGAAAAGTATCTTTTGTTGGGTTTTGTTGGAGTTTTTCAGTTGGTTTGTTTTGGGGTTTTTTTCTGCAGAAGACTTAGCTGAGTGGAAAAAACAACATCTGAGTTTTGAAGGCATTGAAGTGTTAATACTTCATTTCTCAATTCATGACTGTGGGGGTTACATATAATTTCCTAATCACTAAATACCAGGATTGGTATTTGCCAGGATTATGGGTATGCCAGGATTATGGGTATCAATAATCTAGAGGAACTCAATTTGAAAATTATTTTCTCTGTTGACACACAGTGTTGATTGTCTTGCATGACCATGTCTATTATTAAAGTCAAAGCTAGTTTTTGTGCTCACTGCTACAAAGGGAGCTGGCACATACATGTGCCAAACCTTTTAGAGGTTTTTTGTTCTATTTTCTGTGCTCCTGGGAATGAAAGATGAGTCAATTTACTAGCTGAGCATTAGCACTTACACAAAGGGGAGAGGTTGCTATGGGTAGCAGTGAGAATTACCTTACTATTATGCTATTGGTTTCTCTCAGAATTACTGCTTTGTCTTGCCCTCCACTGAGAAGAGCAAAGATAGACTATACCAAAAACTACTGTCAATACTGCAAGAGTGTTTTCCAGCTGCAGTACTGAGCTGGCATCAGCAATCCAAAGCATTTTGTATTTAGGAGCTTTGCAATTCTCTCTTTTTGCAAAACGTACTGCCAGCTACATCCCACAGGGAAAAATGGTGTAACTAGAGAAATTCCAAGTGACATGTGAAAAAGGAAGCCTGTCTCAAATATAAAGCAGCTCTGAGACCATATCACCCACTCATCTTTTACATTACTAAACTTCCAGGTCTAAGATGATGCTTTATTACAGATTTTATTACAGCAGCCCAGTACCTTCTATTTGCTGCAATAGGTAATGTGAAAAGCAGGCTATTATTAAGTTTATATTGGTATAAGCAGGATGGTGTAGTCCAACAGGAAGTATTTCTTGGCCAAGAAAGAGTAGAGCACAGCCGATCAGTGTGGCTGTTGCTTTCTCAAACTGAAGAACCAATTTAATGTGGGACATTCATCATAATATTAACAATTTTTACCTAAAGCACAGCACAACGTGGTTCAAAAAGAACAACTGTAAAAAAATGTCAGCAAACAAAACCAAATGCAGTCCTGCATTTTATAATAATAAAATTGCTTCCTTTCCATTTCATTCAAAAATAAATGCCATCGTAAGTGTGCTCTTGGGGACAGCAAAGATGATGTCTCAAAGAAAGGAAAACTATTTTTTCACATGTTATGTGGAGCAAACAGAAAGGAAGAGCAGAATACTTCCACTTGATGCCAGAATTTTTAAAAAAAGTATGCTTTTCCAAGCATTCACAGAGCCTTGCAAACATGATTATGCTTTGTACTGTTGTTTTGCTACCAGATATCCCCATTTACGAAATAAACATATCTCTTGATAGCAACAGCAACCTCCCATCATGCAAGCCATAATGGTACATACAGAATAATCCATTAGTTCTCAGCATAAGCATCACTTAAACCAATATAACTCAAATTGCACTAATGAGAGCAACAGACGATTCTCTGCTATATTGAAATTGATATATTTATTTCTTTGTGCAAAGTGAATGCAATGTCTGTAGAAGAAATTTACCAACTAGACACTGAAGTGTTAAAGACTAAATAAAGAGCAAAACACAGGAAAAGGAAACCAAAGTCTGTTTCTATTAGGCACAGCTCCCTTATACGAGATTCTTCATGCTTTAGCTCAATACACATCATCTTTACTCACAAGATCCAGCAGACTGACCCAATGTCTATAACTGTTGTGGTTTTTGGACCAGAATCTTCTTCCATGCTGAGCTGAAGGCTGCACTATAACGTGGTGGTTTGTCTGATAAACACCACTTTAGCTCCTTTCACACAGGATCCATTTAGTGTGGTAGTAAAATAATAAGGTAATTACAGCAGTCTTGACAACTACTTCAGTGCAGCTCTAGTAAACAGCTATACAACTATTTTTCTGTAGCTTTATCTTGCACGGCTCAGCAATACATAGGTGTTTTCAAGTACCAACTACAGAGCCTCAGAGGAAATGAATATCATTCTGCCTCTTCCTGTTGCTTAGGATATCCTGCTACATTCATCCTGTGTCTCCCCTTGTCCCTGTGTGCTGACAGAGCACATACTTACTCTGCAGTGAACTATGTTGCAGTGTCCTGATGGATGAGCAGCTGTTTGGTAGGACAACTCATAAAAAAGCTCATTGCAAATCTGGTGATAACAAGAAAAATAATTTGAGGGACTCAAACATCACAGAATAAGATCAGCTCAGGAAAAGGATCTGGGAAAAATGCTGATTTGGTGCTGGAGTTTCTACTTTTTCAATATTAGTCATGTCATTTATTTAATGAAATGCATTACATCTTCTAACATACTGTCTATTTTAATAGTATTAGACCAAAGTTAACCTTTATCTTAACCAGTGACATGCCACAATTAGCCAATCAACCTTTCATTTTTCAGTATCCATTCTTCTTTGTAAAAATGAAATTGCCATAAACATAGTTTGATAAGGATCAGTATCAGTTTATATCAATTCTCATACATTTTCATCTGCAGCAAAACACTCTCAAAGCTCATCTTTACTGCTTCAGCCAGCCTCGTTTTCCAACCAGCAGTTGAACTCCATTTGTGTTCTACTACTTAGAAAGGATGAGACCCTACTAGAGTATTTTGCAAACTAAAGCTTCAATTCTGAAATCAAATCCATCTAGTTGAATAATTCTATGAATTTAGTGTCCAAATATTCTTATGCAGAGCTAGCTACTGGACTGTGCCTGTTTTAAGACCTAATACTAAATTATATGAGAGGAAAGAAGTGATAAGGGCATATGTGAAGGTTATATTAAATCAATCACTCCTTTTAATTAATATAAAGTAAACTAAGCAATGGCTTTTCTTCTCAGTCAGTGGTTTCTTGTTATTACACCCTTCTGAGAATTACTAAGTAAGTTTTCTTTTTTTTTCCTAGAAATCCAAAATTTACAGTGCACAGTGTATTATTTAAATTATTTTTCTTTCACAGGTAAACATTTACAACAGATGTCCATAGACCAACACAAAAAAAAATCTTATTTGTGTATGTAACAGCTGAGCTCCCATACCCAACCACTGTGCTCACAAAAGTAAGTACAGACAAGTATCAGTTACCATATCACACTGGGTGCCTTCATCACTGGCATCTGAAGGCTTGAGAAAAGTTTCATGTTCCTTTTTCAAAGCATCATAGATTGGCTGAGGTTGGAAGACACCTCTGGAGACTGTCTAAACCCCTCTGCCCACAGAGAAATCTCCTACAGCAGGATCAATCCAGTTATGTTTCAAATATGTCTGTGAATGGAGACTCAGACAACACAATTCCTCTGGGCCAACTGTTCCGGTGTTTGACCACCTTCAGAGTAAAAAGGTTTCTTCTTACTTATTTCTGGCCATTGACTCTTTTCCCTGTGTAAGACACCGGTGAGAGGAATCTGTCTCCTTCTCCATTACTCTCCCCAATCAAATATCTATACATATTGATAAGATCCCCTGAGCTGCCTTCTTTTCTCAAGCCTGAACAGTCTCAGCTCTTTCGGTCTCCCCTTTGAGGCTGGACACTCCAATCCTTTAATCATCTCCGTTGCCCTTCACTGGACTTGCTTCAGTATGTCCATGTCACTCTTATACTGAGGCCTCAGAACTGGACTCACTACTCCAGATGTCTCACCCAAGCTGAGTAGAGGGGAAGAATCCCCTCCCACAATTTGCTGGTAACGCTTTTCCTGATGCAGCCCCAGATGCTGTTGGCTCTTGTAGCCTCAAGAGCACATTGCTGGCTCACACTCACCTTGTTGAAATACAGTCCCAAAGAGCAGGAAAGCTTCACCCCACTCCCACAGCCCTGGCAGAGTGTCAAGACTTAGTGATTGTTCCAGGCTGGATCAAGTCAGCAGCTGGGGTGTTCTTCATATACAAACATTAGCCCTACCCCCAGCAGTGTCCTGCCCTCTCATTTTTCTGTTCCACACAGGACAAATCTCTCAGTGTATACTGGATGGGGATTTGCAGTTTATTGTTTGTCATCCTGCAGATCAGCCAGGCCCTAAACCACTCACATTTCAGAGCTAAATTTAGGACTCTTTTATAATCTGAGTTTCAGAAGCAATTCTGAAGTTATAACAATAGTACTAAAAATGAAACAGCAGAGGTAGCCTTATAGGGAACATCAGATTGAGCAGGGATATACAGAATCCTGCACTGCTGCTTTCTGCAAATAAGAGAGAAAAAAGAAAAGTATGTGAATTACTGAGGGAGTATTCTCTGTCTGCTGTGAGGAAAGAAGATAATCTAAGTGCTTTTAAAATCCCAGCTCCAAGTGTTCAATTTTTTAAGCTTTCTACTAACATTCTCTGTGTCTTCTAGTTATAACATAGTTGTAAAAGAATATTTCAAAATCATTGTTATTCTTGCAGTAGTTCATATAAATAGTCAAGAATTTAGTTCTAGCCTCATGCCAAAAAATGTCTTTTACAAATAAGATAAAACTACCACAACTAATAATAATTAACTAGCAGAACACATTCTTCCAGGTGCCATTACTGCCTGAATATTAGTTCAAGCCAGTAACAGAAAAGCAAAATTATTTGCAAAATAAATTACATTTTTTCTTTCTTAACACAAATGACACATTTGCTCCTGGAGCTTTCCAAATAGCTGTTCCAGAGCCAAGATTTCAGTCATCCTCCATCCAGCCCTAAAAATATTGCCATTCTGGACACAGCTTTTATCCTGGCAAAGTGCTCCAGCAACAAAGATGAATGTCATCATTTGTGTTTCTCTAATATTTTTATTACATAAGATATGTGTTAAAAACATGCAAGGAAAAAAATAAAAATTAAAAAAAAAAAAAAAAAAAAAAAAAAAAAAAAAAAAAAAAAAAAAAAAAAAAAAAAAAAAAAAAAAAAAAAAAAAAAAGAAACCAAAAAGCTAGAACAATAAAATAAGAATAAACTAGAAAGAGAACTGAAACTACTCAGAGATTAACAGAAAGAAGAAACATGTCCCCAGAAAAAGGAAGGGCAATGAAAAAAAAGAAGAAATACTTAAATCTTTAAGCAAAAACATTCAAAAACACACATTAGAAAATGGAAAATGAAATAGTAACTTAGGAAAAGAGTACTTGAATGACTTTATACCACAGTTTATAAATTCTCACGCTCAAGATATTCCCAAGGTCAAAGAGGTTCCTCACATGGCTTCTTGAGTAGCCTCAGCATGTGTGTTTCACCCCCAGCACACTCCTTCTATTTCATCATGCAACACTCCCAACAAGCCCCGGAAAACAGGCTTATAACTATTACACACCCCTCACAGAATGCCAGAAGAATTTTCCAATAAAAAAGAGAACTCTTGGCTGCTCTCACTTCTTCATATGGCTTAGAAGGTCTGACACCTCATTGTTTCTGGAGAAAGTGACCTTAGTACTTGTTGAACAAAAAACCAACAACAACAAAAAACACAAACAAACAAAAAAACTATTAAAAAAATCTGTTTCTACAGGTCATTTAACAATATTTTCGGGGGATTGGTGGTTAGTTTTGCTGTTAATGGTCATGATTTGAAGTTTCTTCTTTTCCAAGTTAATTGCAAACCATTTCACAAAGTACCCACATCTCTGCAGAAGGCCACCATTGTCCACTGTTTGCAAAGGAAGGGAGCCTAAGAGCCATTCCTTCTGCTGGACAATATACTCCTTGGGCAATGCCTCTCCGATAGCCTTATTTTTACCTCTGCAGTTTGTAATAGTAGCCTCTCAAATGTCACTAGTGAGTGGAAAAGGCTCCCTGAATTAGTAGCTCGTATTGTACCACTAGGTCTTCAGCGAGTGACTGTGCCCTTTGCATGTGAATAATTACTGGTGCTTTTGCTGTATGTAGCTCCTGGATGTATGACAACCCACCTTAAGGGCTTAAGGGCTCTGCCTCTCACAGATCCCATTCAGGGTCCAGGCTCATGGGTTTCAATACACATGCTAATACTAGTCATTATATGTATTGTTTCAAAGTCATCCATGTACCAGTCCTGAATCCTAAATCAAATATTCTAGACTGAGCACAGTATGTGCGACTAGGTGGAAAGCACTGATGTTTGTCATGGCTTTATCACTGGGTTTATCATGGCTACCTGGTCATGGGCGTGAGGTTAAGCTACAGTGCTTTTACCCTACTTAAGCCCTTCATTAAGGGCTTATCTAGTACATGAAGTGTTCTGGATATTTTTCACACAGTTGAGAACTTCGAATACATTAACATGTGACTATGTTCCAAAAAGGGAAACAAATGAGCCTCACAACATGCATCTGGTTTACTCACCAAAATTTCAGTGAATACAAAGCACTCTGCCATGTGCCAGAAAACAAATGGGCTTGTGTATTGTATTTAGCCCCCTCTGTTTCACACAAATTGAATACCAACTAAAGCAAAGTATTAATGATTTGGCTTGGGTTTTTTTCATGGAAGGGAGAACTAAGTGATTTCCTGACTTTCTGAACATGAATTAACCTTGAATATGACTCACAAATTGCAGTACACTGCCAAAGGCCTGGCAGCTCTGTTAAATACCCTCTGCTCAGGTCATAACAGCTTGAATAGTAATTGAAATTAGCTTAAAAAGAAAAAAAAAATCTACTAGGTTTCTAAATCCTCTCTGTAAAGATTCTACTTTGCCCTAAATCAATACCCGGTAAATCTTGGAAAAATATATATTAAAAAAATATATATATATATGCAGTCAGGGCCTACTGCAGACATTAGAGGGGTAACATTTGTTTTCAACAGGGCAAAATAAATAAAACACAAAATTTCGAACTAGAACACCTCGGGAAAATGCTAATAGCCTCTCATATATTCATCACAATTAGGCAGATGAAAGGAAATCACAGATGCAATGAGAATGCAGTCAAGGCAAAATGAATGTGAAAAGTTACAAGGAAGATTCTGTAGCTGAAACAGAGGTGGTGTTAACTCCAATAGGGAATTCTTCATATGCTTAAACTGAAAAATCTGAGCTGTTTGTATACATGAGCTTGTGAATAAAATGGAGAATAAAATGAAAAGAAGTTAATACAATTCACAATAAATTCCAAGGCAGAGAAAAATAAGTCTTCAATTTTAGGTTTTCAATTCTCCTTTTAAAAAATCAGAAAATTAAGGAGTTGTCAAAATGACGGAGTTTAAGGATTTCAGTTTAGAGAGAAGATATAGAATTATATTTTAGTTCTATTGTTTGTAAGAGAGAAGATATAGAACTATAAATTTTAGAGAAGATATAAAACTATATTAACATTAAAGCACAAACAATGTTACACTGCTGAGCGTGAGGTGGAAATTAAAGATGATCTAAATCCACAGATTATTACAAGACTACAATAGAGAGATACAACCTTTGGTCTTTCACTGTGCATTTCAGTGTGCCACAGGGTAATGGGCTACTTTTGTGGCCTGTGAATAGCAGAGCATGTGTGGACCTGTATGACTGTGCCTAAATCAACCCAGACACATTCTTCCAGTTCATCTTCCTAAGGTTTTTATCAGCATTTATCAGCACTTATCCTAGGCATTTTTGGTAAAAACAATATATTCCCATGAAACATTTCTGTTTCAGTCACCCTGTTGTTTGTGATGAAAAAAAGTGTTGTGGAAATCTCTCCAAAAGATCAAGTTTCCTCCAGACAAATTATACATTCTCTGCTTATCAAAAGCAAACCTTTGAACTTGTCAAGGCTTATTTTTCACCAAACACAAAATAAATCACTTAACACTGCAGTTGTTTTCTTCAGCTGAAGATTAACCCTGCCAGGTTTATGCAATTTTTTATTAATATTTTGATCACATTTTTCAAATACAGGTTTGAGTACAGACAATAAGAGACAACAGTCCAAAGAAAGTAGCAAACTCATTTGTAAAAATGCTATGTTTTTGACTTTGTGGACTCTTTCTCCTTTTTTTTTTTTACCTCTAGTTCAGCTATCACCTCAGGATACTAAGAAGTTTAAGTCTCTAAGGACTGGTGCAGTTATTCTCCTACCAGCTCTAATCTCCTTTCCCAGAAAAGGGGACATTCTCAGAGTCATATCCTCTATTCTCTTTTGCCTGGTCTATCAGGAGAGCCTCTCAAACTAGGCCGTGTCCCCCCTGCTATCCCAAGCCAGAAGAAATCTAATCCTGCAGAAGAGCTTGAGAAATCTCTCACCAAACCAGATGCTAAAAATTAACTCATCACACTGGCCTAAATCAGTTGAAATAAGTGCAAATCTAAGTGCTTGTTACAAGATAACTGTACAGCAAAATCTCATTAATTTGCACTAATGATACTCTTATGAACTTGACTGTAAATTACTAAAACTGAAGAAAGCATAGCACATCACAAAAGCTGCACTATATATAGATATACACACACATGTATACGTATATATGTGCATTTTCATTATAGATTTCATTTATTATGAAATTACTAAATATTTAATGTGCTGTAAACTTACTTTGTGAATGGAACCCTCAACACATGATTTTGTTGCAGTAATGTGCTGTTAAGCCTTTCAGAGAAAACAGGAACAAAGAGTAAGATTTTCTGCATGATTTAAAAGTCAGAACTAGGAAACATAAATTGACAGGGTTTCTCTGTAGTTTGTAAATACAAAGGTGCTGATTCGGATGCTGTGTACCATCAAAAAAAATCTTTTTAAAATTAAAACAATAAGCTGAAAATAAAAGGCAGTTTTAGCAATTGAGGTCTTTTGTCTCTTTGTTTTTCACATATTTTCTAAATTAAGTTTGTGGGTTTTATGAATTCAGCAAGGTAAAAAAGTACAATGAAACACTAATCCCTGTGGGACAGTGCTGCAGCATACACTATTCAAAACTGTTCATTTCACTGACAGATTTATGTTTCTTTCATTTAATTCTTCATACACTGCAGCGACAAAAATGCAATTGTGTATTATCTTCATAAAATAAGGATTGCACAGACCTGACTTTTTAGGCATTATTTCATCCCTTTGATCACTGAACTGAAGGAAATATAACTAGACTGCTGTTCTATCAAGAACCTTGGCAAGTGCTATAAGCCTTTGACTAAACATTTCACAAGACTATCCTTTTCTAGAGGCCAACAAGGATGCCAGCCTCTGCTTGCTTCAGGATTCTTATCTAAGTCTTGCTGCCATTACTTTAGAGGCTTCCCCAGTTCTGATTATAGAAGGGCTGTGGGCATTACTGGGGGTGGGGGGTGGGGGAGGTAGTCCCCTTTTGACACTCTTCTGTATCACCACTGCTAGTAAGACTGTCCAAAATTAGCTCTACATCAGCAGCTCATTCAACCAGAACACAGCACTTCTGTTTATCTCTAGATAAATGTTCTATTAACTGTACAAACAGTTTTTTTGCTGTGTCGCAGTAAAAGACAAACCTGACAGGAAGAAGAAGATAATCATGTCCCGATAGCTGCAGTTTCCAATTTCCTTGTGGTAATAACTGTAAATAGAAGGATGGCTGGTGGCTGCCACAGGCAGTCCCAGAAAGAAAAAAGCAGAGCACAACAAGAGCTGCTCTCATGCAACACACCAAAGAGGGAACTTTTGCACATAAATAAAAGATTGTTTTATTTTTAAACATCTAATCTAAATGTCAGGGTATAAAGCTCAAATTCAACAAGTGATGTAAACATCTAGCTTCTTAATGAAAAACATGAGAGTAAAAAGCTCGTGTGCTTGGACCTCACAGGCAGCCTAATCCCTGAGGCTAGATGGAAAAAAACACTGCATGACAGAAGCATGCTCTGTTACAGGAAAAATCAATTCTGCCATGCTCTCTTTGCACCTGACCAGTCCTGCTCAGTCCAGCCTCACTGAAAAGCCCAGAGTCTCTCCTATAGTGTAGCAGGCTGGTATTTGTTTTACGAGGTCACTACCAGAGCTCTCCAGAGCCCCTGAACTTCTCTGCTTGAAACTCCTTATATTCCGAGTCCCAAAATCTCTATTCTGACCCATGCCCCTTTGTATCTCTCCCTGTAGCCTCACACAAGGGACAAGTGGTTCATAAGTAATTTCCTAGAAATATTAAAGCTTCAGTACAGACTTTATGCCACTATCTCTTAGTACAAAGCCAATGGTTTTGGTGCAGACTGAACAGAGGAGAAGGAAAATAATTCATACAGCTCTGGCTGGCAGCAAATAACCTCTGTGTAAACTCTTAAGTGTCATTGTAGACGTCTCAAGAATGAGGTTTGTCTTCACAGAGTGAAAGCCCAAAGTAACCACTCTGGCAAAGATTAATTATCTTTAGTTCAACACACTGCTTGGGAATGAGTACAGCATATGGAAGGAAGGGAAGACCAAATGGCTTAAGTAAATCCCAGTGAGGACAAACATTCGTGACTCCATTGCCACAAAAGCCCTTTTCAATGGGTAAGGAAACCACACTTTTAGCTATTAAAACAGTCAAGTCACGTGTTGCAACTCCATTTTTTCCTGAATAGAAGGGGATCCTCATTGCGACTACTGGCTTTGAGGAAGGAGGTGAATCTCTCCTCTCTCTTGGGTTACCCTGCCTATCCAGGGACCAGGAGAGTCCTGGGCTGCCTAGGCAATCATAAAAGCTGTGGTGGCGCCCATTTGTTTGCCAGCTGCTGTTCCATGCTGGAGACAAATATAGGAGCAGTCTGTGTTGGCTTCCCACAGAGGCTTGAAAAAATTTCAAATGTTTCCAGTATTACAGCAGGAGAGAAAGGAAGAGAAGTTTCCCCATGCCTTAGGCTAGACACTTCCACTTCCAGGAAGGAAGTAATCAGCTGTCTGTTTTTCCTATTTAGCAGTGCTTTGTTAATGCAGCATGGGAGGAAAAACATGAGTAATGAACAATTTTTGATCAAAGATAACACTGTCTTACAAATGAAATTCCTTCCAAAAATGTAGAATTTTGGGTGCAGTCACCTGAAGCTAGAAAAACACATTACCAGTGCCTCCTCTCCATGCAATACATTTGATTGAGAGGACGCAGCTGCTAGATGGTTTTTTCCTATCATTTGCCCCTTTTTTCCTCATCTTTTTCTAGGAATGAGTGTTTTCTTCTGTGGACCTGCAACCAGGAAAGACTTTTTTGGGAAAGGAATGCAAATCCAATTGCCTGCTCAGAGGTAAGTGTAAAATACAGATCTTACACGAACAGAATGAGTCTTAAATGAATGGTAATCTGAACAAAGATCCAGGTCACTGTTCTGATGTGTTTCTTCTGCAGGTTGTCAATAAAGAAGGAGTTCATGTTTTACCAAATATAGATCTTTTAAAATTTAATGCTCATTGAAAGGATTAAAAACTATTCTCAGAAATGAGAAACTATTCATATCACCAGAAACCGCTGTTATTGTTTGGTAGCCAAATTCTACACTAAATAAACAAGGTAAATTAAGCTGAAATCTTTCACCTTCAGAGGAGACCACACTGTTGACTGCAGCATACTGCATGAAAGATAACAAATGAACCAATACCTACTTATGCTACTCTGACCTTTTGCTCAGACCTTTCCTGGAAGATAATGGCAGGAGAGACAATAAAAGGCTAACACAGCTGATTACCAATTGCCAAGAAATGCCTGGTCAGTAGGTCATGACACAGACTTTTTTCCCCTTTGTCTAGCGATTAAATATCCCTGGCACATTCTTCTGTGACACTAGTGGACTGTTTACTCATAGACTGTGCGGTACTCGGGGAGTTTCATGTGGCACAGAGAGCTAAGAAAATACATACACATACAGGATATATTTTATGACCAAAACAAACTATATTTCCTCACTGGAATACACTCTATATTCCTTATATCATTATTATGAATGTCATTTCAAAATGCTTTTAAAATGGTGCAGTCTTTATTCCAGTGGACCGTTTACTTATACATTGATACTGAATTGAGTAAACAGTAAACTGTGCAGGGGATTAGCATTAGTCCATAAAACAGAGAAAAATGTTCATATGTAAAACAAAGGATCATCCAGTATTAGGATCCTTCACAGGCTTTTCTATTGACGAGCAGAGTATCTGATCAGCAGGTTAATTTTCTTGTATAAATACCCAAAGAGGAAGCTATATCTTCTAAAATTCAGTCCTAATAAAGCATTTTAAATGCCCCTATCACTGCTAAAAGTAGAGATCTCTGTCACTTTACTCCTTAATACACTGCATACACTTACCATCACTACAGAAATGTCTGCACAATCCAAATGTTTTGCCAATGCAAAACACTAGAAGCATCATATGTCCCTTTGGGACATAAAAGCATAGCAACTTTTCAAACAATTGTAAGAGGACTATAAGAGCTCATCTGATGATACTGTCATCCTGACTAACACTCCTCCTCTGCACCTGCATTATAATAATGATTTAGAAGAAGTATTGAATGTATACGTTGTTTGCCTTTGTATTTTAAAAGTGGAATTTTTTCTTATTATTTTCATAGTGTTTTCCTATGTTCCTTAGATCCAGAGATTTTTCTGTGCTGGCCCTATTGATGGAAAAGCTCAGCATTATGACAGAGGCACTTTAGACCAGAGGTTGTCAGGTGTCCAGCCTCAAAGCCACCTCTGACCAAGGGCAGAGAGTAGTACTTTACGTGAAGCTCTGGACAAAGAGCCAAAAAATTAATTCCATTCCCGTCAGGATCCTAAAGTCCAACAGTTCTGACCCACACAGTCAATACTGACAAGGGCCTTACCTGATGCAGGTGCTACTGTGCCTAATAAGGGCACAGAATCACAGACGGGGTGCGATTGGAAGGGATCACATTGGGTCATCTGGTTCAACCTTCCTGCTCACTTACATGGTACAGTCTCCTGCAGTAACTTTCCATTCCCCATCTCCCTGGTGGTGCTTTATGGTACTTGGCATCATGGTGTGACTTTCTGCTGCTCTGCCTACATGAGGAAGAACCCGCAGAGTCAAGGGCATGTCCATACCTGTCCAAGAGGATTACTTAACTCCATGCACATGTGCCTTCCTGCACCTTCGCACGTGTTTTTGTGCTCAGTGTGTGGCATTCCGTACTCTGGAAGAAGAATATGGTGGACGAATGCATCACACAGGAGCAGGTTGAAACTCCCTGAACACATCAACACACTAAGAAAAGGCTTGATCCAGCCCCTCCAACATGTCTCTGTAGCCACAATCATCACTACCCCACAGTCACAGACTTTTCTAGAAAGATTACACCAGGAAGATTAGTTTGGTAACATGGGAAGTGAGGGGAAGGGGCAGGAGAAGCAGATCCCCTGCTCAAACAGAGTGCCAAAACCTTCAGCTGTATTTTCAGCTTGCCAATTTAGCTGAAAGTAGCTTTGCACATATTCTGGAAACTATGAAGGGAGACCTTCCCACAGTGCACTTAAATAATTGAAAGAAATGGGGCTGTATCTTTCTTATAAAACGCATGAGGGTAAATATCACCTGAGGAAGGAAGAAATATAAAGTCTAACCAGAAAGGCTATACTAAATATACAGTTGTAAAGACTACATTTTCAGTTTCTAAAATTTGTCAGTCTTGTCCTGGTTTTGAAGTGACTCTTGGACTCTAGGAAATAAGCAGAGATTTACTAGTAAGAACAGCTAAAACAAATTATTAAATGATTCTGTGATCCCAGGGGGAGGCTCTGCCACCCATTCTGTCCGACTCCTAGCACACAAGAGATGTGATTTTTTTTCTGATCTGGAGGTCTGGAGCTTCCTAAAGGTTCATTCACCC